CTCCGCCTCCCGGGTTCAAGCGATTCTCCTGCCTCAGCCTCCCGGGTATCTGGGATTACAGGCGTGCGCCACCATGCCTGGCTAATTTTTGTATTTTTAGTAGAGACGGGGTTTCACCATGTTGGCCAGGACGGTCTAGGTCTTCTGAGCTCGTGATCTGCCCACCTCGGCCTCCCAAAGTGCTGTGATTACAGGCGTGAGCCACTGCACCCAGCCTACAAAAACTTTTTTTCTTTTTTCTTTTTTTTGAGATACAATCTTGCTCTGTTGCCCTGGCTGGAGTGCCATGCAGTGATCTCAGCTCACCACAACCTCGGCGTCCCGGGTTCAAGCGAGTCTCCTGCCTCAGCCTCCCTGTGATTACAGGCTCATGCCACAAAGCCCAGCTAATTTTTGTATTTTTAGTAAAGACAGGGTTTCACCTTGTTGGTCAGGCTGGTCTCGAACTCCTGACCTCGTGGTTTACCCGTCTCGGCCTCCCAAAGTGCTGGGATTACAGGTGTGAGCCACTGTGCCTGGCCAAAAAAAACTTTCTAAAAACTTAACCGGGCATGGTTGTGGGTGCCTGTGGTCCCAGCTACTCGGGAGGCTGAGGCAGGAGAATCGTTGGAGCCCGGGGGCAGAGGTGGGGATGAGCCAAGATGGCGGTGCCATTGCATTCCGTCTCATAATAAATAAATAAGCAAAAACCAGATTCCCACCAGCAGAGAAACGGGCTCCTCAAACACTGTGGGTAGGAACGGGAGGCAGGGCAGTCACCCAGGAAGTTCCTCAAATGCGAAGTCAGAGCCACCTCGTGACTCAGCAGCCGACTCCCGGATACACACCCAGGAGGAATGAAAACGCAGAAACTGCACACAGACGCTCACAGCAGCGTGAGTCCTAGCCATCAGGAGAGCGTGGGAACAGCCAAAGCGTCCATCCAGGGCGGGGTGGGTCAGCACCGCGCGGCCGTCCACACCACGGAAGACAACTCGCCCGTGGAAAGGAGCGTGGCTGGGCGCGGTGGCTCACACCTGTAATCCCGGCACTTTGGGAGGCCGAGGCGGGTGGATCACCTGAGGTCAGGAGTTCGAGACCAGCCTGATCAACATTGAGAAACCCCATCTGTCCTAAAAATACAAAAATTAGCCGGGCATGGTGGCGCACACCTGTAATCCCAGCTACTCAGGAGGCTGAGGCAGGAGAATTGCTTGAACCCGGGAGGCGGAGGCTGCAGTGAGCCGAGATCACAGCATTGCGCTCCAGCCTGGGCAACAACGAGGAAAAAAGAAAAAGAAAAGGAGCGTGACTCTGACCCCGCTGCAACCCCGCCTCCTGGGTTCAAGCGATTCTCCTGCCCCAACTTCCTGAGCAGCTGGGATTACAGGTGCCCGCCATTAGAGCCAGCTAACTGTATTTTAATAGAGACAGCGTTTTGCTATGTTGGCCAGGCTGGTCTCGAACTCCTGACTCCACATGATCCACCCACCTTGGTCTTCCAACGTGCTGGGATTACAGGCGTGAGCCACCGCGCCCGGCCACGCTTCTTTTTTTTTTTTTTTTTTCAGATAGAGTCTTGCTGTGTCGCCCAGGCTGGAGTGCAACGGCATGAACTCTGCTCACTGCAACCTCCGCCTCCTGGGTTCAAGCAATTCTCCTGCCTCCACCTCCTGAGTAGCTGGGATTACAGGCGCCCGCCACCACGCCCGGCTAATTTTTTTTTAGTTTTAGTAGAGATGGGGCTTCACCCTGTTGGCCAGGCTGGCCTCAAACTCCTGACCTCCCACGCCTGTAATCCCAGCACTTTGGGAGGCCGAGGCGGGTGGTTCACCTGAGGTCAGGAGTTCGAGACCAGCCTGACCAACACGGTGAAACCCCGTCTCTGCCAAAAACACAGAAATTAGCTGGGTGTGGTGGTGGATGCCTGTAATCCCAGCTGCTCGGGAAGCTGAGACACGAGAATCACTTGAGCCCAGGAGACGGAAGTTGCAGTGAGCTGAGACCACACCACTGTACTCCAGTCTGGGCAACAAGGGGGGAACTCCATCTCAAAAAAAAAAAAAACAAAAAAGAAAACCACCCACCCATGACCCCCAAGCCCCCCGTGGCCCTGCTGACCACCTTCTCTCTCCTCCCTTCTCCCGACACTCGGGTCCCTGCTACGCCTGCAAGCTGCCCGCACCCCACCTAGCTGCCCGCACCCCACCTAGCTGCCTGTGCACCTCCCCACCCCCGGCCCGGCTTCCTCCCTTGGTTTCTGCTCCTCTCGCCGCAGAGGCCCCCCAGCCGCCCTCTTGCCCTCTCTGCCCTTCCTCTGCTCTGCCAGCCTCCCAGCACCCACCCCTCCCAGACTGTGGTGCACAGCCTCGCGCCTGGCCCGTCTCTCCCGGGCAGACAGGCGGGCAGGCCCCAGGCCTGTCTCGGGTACAGCAGGCCTAGAACAGGGCGTGGCCTGCAAATACGGAGGGATACACGGCAGAAAGGGAGAAGAGGAGGAGGGACAGAGGAAGGAAGGAGGGAAGGATGGAAGGAGGAGGGGGTGATGGATGGAAGGAGGGAAGGAGGGAGGAAAGGAGAGAAACATGATAGATGGATGGGTGGGTACCTGAAAGGAAGGAGGGGAAGATGATGGGTGGATGGAAGCAAGGAGGAATGAACGATGGAGGGAAGGAGGGATGGATGATGCATGGATGGGTGGAAGGAGGGATGATGGATGGACGGACAGAGGGAAGGAAGGAAGGGTGAAGGGAGGGAGGGAGGGAGGGACGACGGACCCATGGGAGGAAAAAAAGAATGGGTCAGGCGCGGTGGCTCACGCCTGTAATCCAAGCACTCTGGAGGCCAGGGCGGGCGGATCACCTGAGGTTGGGAGTTCAAGACCAACCTGACCAATATGGTGAAGCCCTGTCTTTAAAATTAAAAAAAAGAAAAAGAAGAATGGGAGGATGATAGATGGCTGAGGGATGGATGGCTGGATCTACCTCCGCCCATCTGCTTAGGTCCCCAGCTCACCAGAGCCCCTCACCCAGTCCAGCCGGCACAGGAACCACTGCCCACCTCCCTCCTCTCTCACTGCTGGGCACCTAATCCCGCCACACCTTCGGTTATAGGAGGCAGCCGGTGGGGAGGGAGCGCCGGCTCTGCGCTCCCAGCTGGGGCGTTTCCTAGCCGGGCCTCAGTTTCCTGCTCTGCACCTCGGGTGTGATGGGGGCCCTGCCTTCTGGGTGCCGCCGGGAGGATGGACGAGGTGAGCCGGTGGACGGCGGCACTTCCCAGTGCTTGGGGTGAAGGTGAGGAGCTTGGGATGCCCCCTGGTCTGTCTTCCCGCCAAGCAATGACGAATCTCCACTCTTACGCCGAGGATGCTGCCGCCCACGCCTAACCCCCCATCCAGGGACCCCCAAGAGCTCTGGGCCTCAGTGACCCCCTGCACTCTGGCTCCCACTCACCTGCCGACAGGGCCCCCAGGGCCAACACCAGGAGTGAAGACACACAGGCCTCCATGCTGCTGCAGACACCCAGCACGTATGCCAGCAACCCCCGACCCCGTCCCTATGGCTTCCTGTGGGGGAGGTGACAGTCACAGCCCCACCCACAGCCACACACCCAAAACCCCTCCACCCATGAACACGTTAGAAAGTGTTTCTCAAACAGAAGGACTCAAGATGAAGCCATGATCACACCTGAGAAAGTACCAAAACTTTCTTATTTTTAGACAGCCAGGCTGGAGGGGTGTGATCGCAGCAGCCTCAGACTCCTGGGCTCATGTGATCCTCCTGCGTCAGCCTCCTGAGTACCTGGGACGACAGGCGCTACCACCGTGTGGGTGATATTTTTTTTTCATTTTTTGAGACAGAGTCTGGCTCTGTCACCCAGGCTGGAGTGCAGCGGCTTGATCTCCGCTCACCACAACCTCCGCCTCCCGAGTAGCTGGGGTTATAGGCACGCATCACCACGCCCGGCTAATTTTTGAGTTTTTTTTTTAGTAGAAATGGGGTTTCACCATCTTGGCCAGGCTGGTCTCAAACTCGTGACCTCAGGTGATCTGCCTGCCTCGGTCTCCCAAAGTGCTGGGATTACAGGCGTGAGACATGTGGCGAACTTTAAAATTAATTGTAGAGACAGGGTTACGCCACATTGCCCAGGCTGATCCTGAGCTTAGCTCAAGCAATTCCCCTGTCTTGGCCTCCCAAAATGTTGGGGTTACAGGAGTCACTGTACCCAGCCGTTGACAAATTTCGGGTGTTGAATATAAAGTGTTCAAATCACCCTAATTGTATTTGTTTTAGTTTCAGTGAGGTTTTTTTTTGTTTGTTTGTTTTTAAAGATGGGGTTTCACCATGATGGCCAGGCTGGTCTTGAACTTCTGACCTCACGTGATCCACCCACCTCAGCCTCCCAAAGTGCTAGGATTACAGGCGTTTGAGCCACCACGCCCGGCCGAGTTTTTTCTTTGCCGATTTTTTGTTATTCTGATAAAACATGTAGAAAACGTCCTTTATGCCGGTCCAGCGGCTCACGCCTGTAATCCCAGCACTTTGGGAGGCCAGGGCAGGTGGATCACAAGGTCTAGACATCAAGACCAGCCTGGCCAACATGGTGAAACCCGGTCTCTACTAAAAATACAAAAAATTAGCCGGACATGGTGGTAGGTGCCTGCAGTACCAGCTCCTTGGGAGGCTGAGGCAGGAGAATCACTTGAACCTGGGAGGCGGAGGTTGCAGTGAGCCGAGATCGTGCCACTGCACTCCAGCCTGAGGGACAGAGCTCCATGTTCAGTTGTGTGGACGGACCACACTGTTTATCCAGTCACCGGTGGACGGGTATTTGGGCTGTTTTAGCTTTCGGTTTTCATGAATAGTAATACTGGCCGGGGGCGGTGGCTCACACCTGTCATCCCAGCACTCTGGGAGACAGGCAGGATCGCCTGAGCCCAGGAGGTTGAGGCTGCAGTGAGCCGTGATTGTGCCATTGCACTCCACCCTGGCAACACAGCAAGACCCTGTGTGAAAAATAAGTAACTTTTCAAAATTAAAGGTGTCCAGAAGAAATTGATCAGCAAAGGCTGCACTCCCCTGCCGTGCTCTGGGGCCTGGGAGCTCCCACCGACAGCGTGAAGCCGGGTGCGTTTAAGGAGCTCGAATTTCTACCTCATTCAACCCTCACAACCGGGAGGAACGCCCATCAGTGTCAGCGTGACCAGACTTAGCAACTACAGACAGGGGTGCCCAGTAAAATGTCTATTTCACATAGAAAGCAAGTGAAGTTTTAGGGTATCCTGCAAATATAATGTGGTAAAGAGTAAAAACTGAGAGGCTGGGCACGGTGGCTCACACCTGTAGCCCCAGCACTTTTGGAGGCTGAGACGGGAGGATTGCGGGAGCCCAGGTTGAGACTCCAGTGAGCTATGATCGTGCCACTGCACTCCAGCCTGGGTGACACAGTGAGACCCTGTATCAAGAAACAAAAGTGTAAAACCAGATGGGGCCACACAGTAAGGTCCGTTTCTATAACAAATATGTGTACATGTGGCCCGGCGTGGTGGTGCACGCCTGTAATCGCAGCACTGTGGGAGACCAAGGCAGGTGGATCACCTGAGGTCAAGAGTTCGAAACCAGCCTGATCAACATGGTGAAACCCCATCTCTACTAAAAATACAAAAATGAGCTGGGCGTGGTGGCGCATGCCTGTAATCCCAGCTACTCGGGAGGCTGAGACAGGAGAATCGCTTGAACCCAGGAGGTGGAAGTTGCAGTTAGCCAAGATCATATCACTGCCCTCCAGCCTGGGCAACAGAGCAAGGCTCTGTCTCAAAAAAATAAATAAATAAAATAAAGAAAAGCAGGCTAGGTGCAGTGGCTCACCTGTAATCCCAGCACTTTGGGAGGCTGAGGGAGGTGGATCACCTGAGGTCAAGAGTTAGAAACCAGCCTGATCAACATGGAGAAACCCCATCTCTACTAAAAATACAAAATTAGCTAGGCGTGGTGGTACATGCCTGTAATCCCAGCTACTTGGGAGGCTGAGGCAGAACTGCATGAATCTGGGAGGTGGAGGTTGCAGTGAGCCGAGATCACACCATTGCACTCCAGCCTGGCAGCAAGAGTGAAACTCAGTCTCAAAAAGCAGCTAGGGACCATCCTGAGAATTGGGTGTGGCCGTGCCAATAAAGCTTTATTCACAATAGGGGTGGACACCAGGTGTGGTCCGGAGTGCCTCTCATACCTTGGGCTGGCCAGAGAACACCAGGCCGGTGGTGGTCAGATGACACTGCCCTGGGTCCTTCAAGTGGACTAGGTGCAGTGGCGCGGCGCGGCCTGGAGCCGGGAGAGGAGAGGCCGGCCATCTTGCCTGCCCCTGTAACGGCGGAACACGTCGGCACCTGCTGAGCGCCTGCAGGTTAACGCACCTGGGCTCCCGTGCAGGGCTCCAGGGCTCCGGGCCTCGATGAGCTCACTGCTTAGCAACACTGCAGTGCTTGGTGGACGAGGTAAACTGGACGGACGGCTTACGGGGGAGCAACGGAAGCAGCAGGGCCCACACCATCAAGCCAGACTCCCCTCAAACCCACCTCAGACAGGACAGGCGGTGGCCTGGGTCTAAGAGAAGCCAGAAATGTGAGCCCAGGAAAGGTGATGGGGCATCTGCCGAGGTGCAGCCAGGGTGCAGCTCAGAGGCCACAGGCCACGCACCCTACAGGGCCCGGGGGGGGCCTCACAGGTCCCCCGAGTGCCCTTCTGCACCCCATGCCCACCTGGCAGGGGCACCCAACTTCCAACCAATGCAGCCACATTTTGTCTGAACTTGGTGGGAAGGCCATCCTCACAGCTTGACCACCATGAATCCAGCCACTATGGGCTTTTCAGCTGCCCAAAAGCAAGGCCAGGAGCTCCTGGACACCTGAACACAGGCAGATTCCTTGGAGGCAGCGCACCCTGGGAGGGCAGGGAAGGGCGCCAAGCTTTACCCCACGATACAAAACGATTCCAGGGACTTCCTGATGCCAGGATGCGAGGTGCCTGCCCTGCGTGCCCAGGGCCACGGCTCTCCCACCCCGAGGGTCTGCCTGGACGGTGATGGAGCCCCCGTAGTGCTCATAGGGGCAATCTGTGGCCCTGAGCTGTCCCCGGAGTGCTGATGGGGGCATTTGTGGCCAAGGCGTCAGGATCAACACCCAGGCGGCTGCGGCCCTGGGACGAAGCTTTGCTGGACGCCTGCAGAGGCAGCTCCTGTCCCCTCAAAAGCACTTGGTCACAGGGAGGAACTTTCAGTTCACTGCAGGCTGGGGGAGGCCGCCCAGGCCCGTCTGACCCAAGTTTGGGAGCTACGGGCGGTGGGAGCCGGCTGCCCCCAGGCCTCCTGAGACAGGCCTCCCAGACCCACACCTGACGCAGCTGGGTCCCAGCAGGCTGGCCGTGTGCAGTCACTAATGGACCTGCAGGCTGCCTCTCCCTCCCCGCAGAGCTTCTGTGGCTTCTCATAAAGTAGTTTTATTTAGATTCCAAACAAACCAAAGCAGAGAGAAGAGTCGGCCACGGAGAATCTGTCCACTCGTGCTGGGATGTGGCTCCAGGCCCTGGGGCTGACACGCTGGGCTGGGACCCTCAGGCCGGCAGCCGCCCACCCACGTTCCCAGCTGCGCTCCCTGTGACTCCTCTGGGCTGCAGCCAGTCTGAAGCCGGGGCGCCTGGGCAGAGGCTGGGACTCTGCTCCCCTCCCGAGAGGACAGGTGGGCCGGCCACTCCCAAGCTGGGCCCCCGTCCACGGAGCCCAGAGTGACGTGGGTGGCGCTGGGGCAGCCCCTCTTCTCTGAAGCACATGAAAACCCAGAACAAACAAGGGAAAGGAGAAAAAGAGCCAAACGAAACCACCAGAGGGGAGGGGAGCAACACAAAACCTCGGTGAGGTAGTCTGTGGTCTAAGGATCCATACGGGCCCGGCCGCAGTTTATTCGGGCGGTGTCAGGACTCCTCGGTGCCCGAGTCGTCCTCGTCGTCCCCGAAGCAGCTGTCGGCGCCCCCCTCCGCCTCGCCGTCCTCATAGTAGTCGTCGTAGAAGAGGTCCGAGCCCTCGTCGGGCGCCGGCACCTTGGTCTTCACGCAGTACTCGGCCAGCGTGGTGGGCACCTTCACGCCGTCGCGCTCCGCGTCCACCTTGGTCCCCAGGACCTGCTTCCTGGTGGGACAGGATGGGTGAGGGCGCCACGCACGGGCCTGGACCCGGCCCCTGCCCCCACCCCCCATGCCCGACGCTCATCCCAACGCCCCTTAACGCGGCATTCAGCGGCCACGCAGGAACGCGCTCTGTGAGTGAGGAATTCCGGAAGGGAGACAGAGGACGGGGCTGGGGAGGGGCCGGAGGCGCAGGCAGGAGGCTGCCGGGCGCAGTGCGGTCACATCCGCCCATCCTGCTCTGAAGCACACCCCACAGGGACCCATCAGGAGCTGGAGAAAGTCACGACGCTGGGTGACAGGGAGTGCCCGTGTAGCCCCACGTTGGGGCAAAAGACTTTCCTGAGTGCAGGAGCAAAGGAAGTAGCTGGGGGTGACGGAGGACAGGAGGCAGGACTGTCCTGGAGCCGAGAACCAGCCCAGGTGGGACGGGAAACGCAGAGACGGCCAGAGCCTTGCCACACCCTCGCTAGGATTCTAAACCAAGGCAGGCCTGGACACCCCGGCCTCTGGCTAGAAGGGGGGATGAATTAGCACCAACTTTCCAGCGGGCACCATGGACACCAGGCCCTATAAGGCGGTCCTGCCCTGAGCTCCACCTCCATGACGCACATCAAGAATGTCCCTCCAGGGCTCCTGGCAAGGGGCTTCTGGGTGCCCGCACAGCAGGGCCGGGCTGCAGTGACCTCATTTGACGGAACACAGGAACAAGGCTGCAGCCTCAAGCGATGGGCTAGGGACTGCAACCCAGCCCTCAAGCCCCCATCACACACCAGAACGGCTCTGGGCCTGGCTGCTCCCAGGGTGTGTGGGTTCCACAGTGCCCGCACAGGAGGGCAGCAGGGAGTGGACAGACAGCCCCAAGCCCAGAGCTTCCAGTGGGGAGGCACGAGGCATGGAGGGCCGACGTCTGGCCTCCGGGACGTCCCTGGGCAGACCCAGCAGATGCCGCACTTTGTTTCCCGAGCTCTCCAGCAGAGTGGACGCAGAGGCTGAAGTGCGCAACAGGCGCCCTGAGGCCAGCACTGCCTGGGGGGGCACACGTGGGAAGGTGCAGCGGAGGGGCAGGGTGGGACCTGACCCGCCCGTGGCACACCCCAGCATGAACTGGAAGACTGTCTGGCCGTGCTGTCCAGCAAGACCAACAGCCCTGACCAAGCCAGGCTCACGGCACCTGCCCGGCACAGCACAGTGGGACTCTGGCTGCCACAAGGTGCGTGCGCGCGCGCGCGCACACACACACACACACGATTTAAAAACAGGCAGAAAGCAGCGACCACATCAGGCCACATGGGCACACGTGAGTTGGCCTGCAGGGAATTTCGAGGGATAAAAATAGTGTGGCTTTTATTTCTGTGCTGGGATCTGAGGGGGAGGTACATCAGGGAGGTGGCCAGGAAGAACCGGGCCAAGGAACCGGTCACATGGGCCAGGTGACACAGCTGGGCCAGGGCCGCTGAGGGCATCTGCACGGAGGGACTGCCAGGCCGGCTCCCCCCTGACCTCCAGAGGCCAGTGGGTGCTGGCAGAGCACCTCCCAGGATGCCACACTGTGGCTGCTCAGAGCAGAGACCGCCCAGCACCGTGACGCTGCCCTGGGACAACTCCACACCACCAGGAGCCAGCAAGTGCAGAAGGGAGTGCAGACGGAAGGCACCGGAAGCTCGTGGGGCCCGGGCCAGGGACACACCTGGAATATGGGTGCAACATTTTAAAGGTTGTTTTTTTTTTTTGGAGACAGAGTCTCACTGTGTCACCAGGCTGGAGTGCAATGGGGCGATCTTGGCTCACTGCAACCTCCGCCTCCTGGGTTCAAGCGATTCTCCTGCCTCAGCCTCACGAGTAGCTGGGATTACAGGCACGCGCCACCATGCCCAGCTAATTTTTGTATTTTTAGTAGAAACGAGGTTTTCACCACGTTGGCCAAGATGGGCTCGACCTCGTGATCCGCCTGCCTTGGCCTCCCAAAGTGCTGGGATTACAGGCGTGAGCCACGGCACCCAGCCTTAAAGGTTGTTTTTAAAATTCTGCTTGGCCCGGTGTGGTGGCTCACGCCTGTAATCCCAGCATTCTGGGAGGCCCAGATGGGCAGATCACGAGGTCAGAAGTTCAAAACCAGCCTGGCCAAGATGGCAAACCCCATCTCTACTAAAAATACAAAAGTTAGGCCGGGCGTGGTGGCTCAAGCCTGTAATCCCAGCACTTTGGGAGGCCGAGGCGGGTGGATCATGAGGTCAAGAGATCGAGACCATCTTGGTCAACACGGTGAAACCCCATCTCTACTAAAAATACAAAACATTAGCTGGGCATGGTGGTGCGTGCCTGTAATCCCAGCTACTCAGGAGGCTGAGGCAGGAGAATTGCCTGAACCCAGGAGGCGGAGGTTGCGGTGAGCCGAGATCGCGCCATTGCACTCCAGCCTGGGTAACAAGAGCGAAACTCCGTCCCCCCCAAAAAAAACAAAAACAAACAAACAAACAAAAAAACAAACAAAAGTCAGCCCGGTGCAGTGCAGGTACCTGTAGTCCCAGCTACTCAGCTGAGGCAGGAAAATCTTTTGAGCCTGGAGTGGAGGAGGCTGCCGTGAGCCAAGAATGCACCACTGCACTCCAACCTGGCGATAGTGTGAGACTTCATCTCAAAACAAACAAACAAACCCAAAAATACAAAAAGTTAGTTGGACATGGTGGCGGGCACCAGCAGTCCCAGCTACTCGGGAGGCTGAGGAAAGGGAATTGCTTGAATCTGGGACGCGGCGGTTGCAGTGAGCCGAGATCACCCCACTGCACTCCAGCCTGGGCAACAGAGCAAGACTTCGTCTTGAAAAACAAACAAACAAAAAACATTGAGGCTTCCAAGAGGGAATCCATGTGATCTCACTCAGAGAAAAGGAAACGGATAGGAAGCGTCTCTACGTAACAGGAAGAGCAGGAACCGTGAGGCTGTGAGCCCGTAAAGAAAACCTCGTCTGTGTATGCAGACACGCACATGTTCACACTTTCACATCAACACAAGACACCCATGAGAAAGGGCTGTGGGGCTCAGCTCTGGGGCACGAGGGGGACGGGACAGGGAGAGCTACCAGCCGGTACACACCGCCACGAAGGGGAGGCAGACCGCAGGCACGGAAGGCACCGGGAGGCGGCCGCACACCTGCGGCCAGAGCTTGCTGGGCCGAGCGCCTGCAGGGGCACTCCCCACACGAGTGGCACCAGCACTACTGACCAACAGTCACCAGCGCGCACACAGCGTGACCCCTTTTCTTCGCTAAAGCACAGGCATAAATAAACCGTCAAGCCTGAAAGAATCTACGGAAACATCGACCACTAGGCTGGGCGTGGTGGCTCACGCCGGTAATCCTAGCACTTTGGGAGACTGAGGCAGACAGATCATCTGAACTCGGGAGTTCGAGACCAGCCTGGCCAACATGGTGAAATCCCAACTCTAACTACAAAAAGTAGCCGGGCATGGTGGTGGGCATCTGTAAACCCAGCTACTGAGGAGGATCAGGCAGGAGAATAGCTTGAACCTGGGAAATGGAGACCGCACTGAGCCCAGATTGTGCCAGGGCACTCCAGCCTGGGTGACAGAGCGAGACCCCATCTCAGGAAAAAAAAAAAAAAAAAAAGGGCCAGGCTCAATGGCTCACGCCTGTAATCCTAGCACCATGGAGACCAAGGTGGGCAGATCCTGAGGTCAGGAGATCGAGACCACCCTAGCTAACAGGGTGAAACCCTAACTCTACTAAAAATACGAAGAAATCAGCCAGGCATGGCCTGTAGTCCCAGTTTATAGTCCCAGCTACTTGGGAGGCTGGGGCAGGAGAGGTGTTTGAACCTGGGAGGTGAACACTGTGGGGAGCTGAGATCACACCACTGCACTCCAGCCTGGGCCTCGAGGTGAGACTCTGCCTTAAAAAAAAAAAAGAGGAAAAGGGGCAAGAGGCTGGGCCCGGCCTCCACCTGTGACCGCTGCCTGTAAAGCAGCATCAGGACGCCCCTCCGCCCTCACCGGGACAGCAGGGCTGGGCGCTGCGCGATCACGGCTGCAGGCCTGACCTGCGTCTCTCCTCCCGTCCTGCCCGCCCTCACCGGATGATGTCCGTGTACTCCCGATCCTTCCCCTTGCTCTCTTTCCACTTCCTGTACATCACGGAGGCGTCCACGTTGGCGGGTGAGAAGGTGTTGGGCTCGTTGAGGAGGGAGATGACACTCAGGAGGATGGTCCTGTGGGGAGAGCGGCTGGAGCGGACCTGCCCGGGGAACCCCAGCCTTCCCGCCCAGCAGGCGACCTTCATCTGCCCTCATGGCCTCTGCTTGTGTCTCGGGCCCCCAGAACAGTAGGGGCTAGAACTGCACCAGCCTCCTGCCTCCCATGCCAGGACCAGGGAGGGCAGCAGGGCAGACCCCCTCCGTCAGACCCGGGGCTGCCCTCACGCCCGTACGTCCGGCCTGGGCTGTACTCCAGGACACACGGGCAACAAGGCCCCAGTGCCTGTACCTGGGGATGAGTCCCGGGGGCCACGCGTGGCATGAGACGACCAATCCAGAGATGGCTGGGGAAGGAGGAGACCCCAGGACTGGGGCAGGCGGGACAGCCCTAGGTCGTTCCAGACCGTGGGGCTGGCCTGGGGTGGTGGGAGTCCGCACAGACACCACCGTGCTGCAAGCCCCGGGAAGCTGCCCACTGTGCAGGTGTAGGGAGGCCCAGGATTGCCAGCTGGCAGGTCCTGAACCAAGCCTTGGCACCACCGACTAGGAGGGAGCCCGGCCTACCTGATGTTCTGGGTGGACACGGGGCAGGGTAGGGAGGGAGCCTGGCCTACCTGGTGGACATGGGGGGCGGGGCGGCCTACCTGACATTCTGGGTGGGGTTCCACCTCTCCGAAGGCAGCTCCCCACTCTGGGGGTCGTCCACCGGCGGGTGGAGGATGGAGATGCACACATCCCCCGTCTGCACAAGGAGAGGACAGGTCAGAGGTCAGAGGTCAGCACTGGCTCCCAGTGCCCCAGGTCCCAGACGATGAGGACGTGAGGCCCACGGGGGCTACACTCACCTCGTAGATATTAGGGTGCCACATCTTGGTCAGGAACCGAAAGGCCGGTGGAGAGTACGGGTAGTCGATGGGGAACTTGAGGCGTGCCTGCACGGGCAGAAAGCCTGTGGCTCAGCTCAGCTAGCCCTGGCCCAGCTAACAGGGAGCCCGAGGCCATCCCGCTCCCAGTGCTGCTGCTCCGGGGATAAGGCCCAGGCTGTGGGCCTGAGGCACGGTTTGTGTGAGGGACATCCCATCCCGGCCAAGGCAGGACTCTCAGTTCCCAGCAGGCTGCCTCAAGCCTTCTGAGTCACCTGAGTTGATCCCAGCTCCTACATAGTCCAGGTGGCCAGGGCCTGACCCTGCACAGCTGCTGGGGAACGTGGGCACGGGCAGCCCAGGTCAGGCGCATGGGACCCGGGCCCGGACACCCACCAGCAGTCAGAACGGACTGGCAGGGGCTCCAGGCTCCTCTCGGATGGAGCTGAGGCCCAAGACCAGGACTATACCTCCAGGGCCTTGGCATCCAGGGTGTGGGGAGGGTGAGCACAGATGACTGCTCACTCAGCAAACACTCCAGACACCTGCCATGGCCCAGGCTGTGGTGGGGGATGAGTCAGCACGGCCACCTGCCTTCAGGTGTCTGGTGCTGGGGCGTCAGGTAGGCTGACCCGCAGGTCACAGAAGCCTGGAAGGACTTGTTCCCCATCGGCGTTTCCCGTGATGGCCGCCCAGCCTGCTGGCAAGGGTGGCCACAGAAGGAGAATCTCAGCCACGTGCTGGGTGACAGAGCTGTCTGGCCTGTGGCCTGGGACGTGATGTCATCCACGGCCCTCCTGGGCCCCAGCAGGTCAACAAGGAAGCCTCTCTGTTGGCTTGCTACACCCCCACGCCAGGCACAGGCGTGTCTGGGTCAGGGGTCCTGGGGGCACTCAGCACTCCAAGGGGCTCAGGGCAGCACTCCCCAAAAGCCAGTCATTGGAAAGGCCCTTCCTGGACAGGGAGGGCACTCAGGGTCCTTGGGGGATGTTCTCTGTTTGACAGGGAACTCACTGGGGTCCCGTGCTGAGGCCCCAGAGCGAGGCTGGAATTTCGGCCTCAGAAACGCCCAGTCGTTCCCCAAAACTTCAAGTCCCCCAAGCCTGGTGCTGGGCTTGAGGCCTCAACAGCAGCACGGAGGACCTGCCTCACCTGTACCAAACCCCACCAAGTCCCAATGAGCCTCTTGCTTTAAACACCTCTAAAAATGCCTTTTACCTGGAGGAAATCCAAGCTCAGAGAAGGAAAGCACCCCGCCAAGGGCACACAGCAAGCTAGCTGTGGAGGGGTCTCTCCAGCAGTGCCTGCCCCAGGGCTGACTCCAGCTCCCGAAGGCAGTGGCTGGCAGCGGTGGTGGCTTTGGCACTCCACAGCTCCTGGATTTCCACAGCCCCCACTCCTGCCCTGGCACAGCGGGAAGGGAGGGTCCTGGTAGGGGCAGCACCCCCGTGTCTCAACGCTGGCTTCTGAGGACTGACCCTGCGGCAGATGTCCAGAGGCCCCCTCCCCAGGAAATCCGGAAAACTGGATTATCCCCTAATACTGCCCAGGAGGCTCTGCCCACAATCCCTGGCAACCTGTCTAGTGGACAGCAGCCAGAAACCCGCATCCCTTCCTTCCAGAACAGCAGCCGCCTCACAGGCCTGGCCTGGAGGTGGGACTGCCCCTCCTCACAGCCAGCTGCTCCCACAAGCAGACAAAAGGGGCTGGGGGAGGGGGGCTGCAAAAACCATTTGGCAACCTGCAGGCCCAAAACCCTGTGTGGGGACGCAGGATTGCAGAGGCAGAACCCGGGACGTCCCACCCTTTGCCGTAAGCCAGAACCTCAGCTCAGGAATCGCCCCAGGCGGACCAGGCTGCTGCCCTCACAGCCGTGGAGTGGGCGCTGCTCAGACTTAACCGGCCCAGAGCACAGACACTCACCCCGTGGGAGGCACCAGCCCCTCGGCCCCATGCCCACAGCTGGCCGGGCTGAGGCTTCTGCTGCCCACCCGGCCTCCAGCCAGGGCAGAGCGGGCAGGGCCGTGTCCAGGCTCTTGGCAGGCGGGGGCGGCGGGAGGGGGGCATCCTGGGCAGGGCGCTCATTCCCCACCTCTGCCACAGGGCCCCTCGCTTTGTCCCTCTGACCCCAACAACAAAGTCCTTTGAGTCCTTCTAAAGTCAAAGGTCACGTCTGGACGGTGAGATCAAGAAAACCGCCCTGGCTGTGGCCTGCATCCTTTTCACACGGGACAGAAACAGCCTCCCAGCTCCCAACAAAAACATCGGGAAACTGCTGGGACTCAAACCGCCAGACGGCAGAAGGAACGGCCCCCAAGCCGGGGTCTGGGTCCCCAGAAGCCACCTGCTCCGTGGAACCCGAGAAAGGCCCCGGCCAGCGGGGATCAGCGGGGATGAGCGGGGCGCGCAGCTTCTGGGGTCGGAGCCCGGGCCGCGCGGAGCTGCAGGGAGCGGGAGGGAGGCCGCCCCTGCCCCGGCCTCCCCGGGCGCAGGTTACATAAAGCCGGGACGGAGCCCAGGGCGCATGGCCGGCCGCGGTCCGCGAGGGTGGCCGCCTTCCAGGCAGGTCCCGGCTGCCAGAGCCCGAGCGAGAGGCCGCGCCAGCCGCCCCCAGGCTGGCCGCGCTCCCCGGCTCACGGGCCGAGCTCCCCGACGATGGCAGCTGCGGGGTCGGGGTCGGGGGGGCGGCAGGAAGGCCGCGGCGGCCCTGGCGACGCTCCCCGTCTCCCGCAGGCCCGGACGGGGGGCTGCCGGGGTCGAACCCCCGAGGCGGCGGCAGGAACAGCCTCACGCCCAGCGATCCGGGGGCCCCGGGCCCCTCCTGGGGACCAAGACACTAACAGGCGGCCGGACGGCGCCTTCCAGGGGGCTGCAGGAGAGGCCCAAGGACCCCGGGACTGTCCGCGGAGGGAGGGCGGGGGGCCCCACACCAGCCCGAGCCAGGAGGCTGCGGCGCAGGGAGCGGGTCCCCGGCGCCCCGAGGGGCTCGCGGGCTCGGGGACCGGGGCGGGGTCGCCGCGCTCACCTTGAAGTAGCCGCCCTCGTAGTAGGTGTTGGGGGGCCCGAAGATGGCCACCTCCCAGTTGTACAGGTCGCCCTCGTCCACCAGGGTCACGCGGAAGCCCTCGACCGGCTCCTCCTGCAGCCCCTTCAGCTCCAGCAGCAGCGCCTTCTGCGAGCTGGGAACCAGCGGCCGGGCCATGGCGGCGGCGGAGGGGCCCGGGGTCGGCGCCGCGCGGGGCCGCGGGACCACCGCGAGCTCGCGAGACGGGCCGGGCCGCGCGCCGGCCGGGGGGGAGCCGCCGCCTGCCTCCTCCTCTGCGCCGCCGCCGCCGCCGCCGCCCGGGGACCCCGAGCGCTCCACCAGCTCTGCCGCCGCCGACCGCCCGGCGCTCGCCTCAGCCCGGCCCGCGCACTCCGCCCCCCGCTGCGCCTGCGCGCCCCGCCGGGCCCCGACTGCGCCTGCGCGCCGCGGCCAGGCACGACCTGCGCCTGCGCGCCCGCCCGCGGGGCACGCCGGGAAGTGAAGTCCCCGCCCCGGCCCCGCCTACCGCCCCCGCCGCCGGGAGGGAGGGGCCGAGCGCGCAGCCCTGGGCGCTTCCGACCCCGCGGCCGCCGCCGTCGCCGCAGCTCCACCAGCACCGCCGACGCTGTGCGCAGGGAGGCGGCCAAGGCTGTGCTGCGCCGCCACCGGCCCGGCCCCCGGGCTTTGGGGTCGTTTTGTGACGTCCCGGCGCGGGGCGGGGCCGCGGGCGGTGAACGGGGCGCGGGGCGGGGGTCCTGATCCGGGCCGGAAGGTCCGTCCCGGCTTCCGGTCCCCAGTCTGTACTCGGGATGGGCGCGAGGTCTGTCCTCGGAACGCCCGGCGCGCAGAGGGGAGGGCGGGCGGCAGGGCTCCGAGGGGCGGACTTCCCCCCGGAGGTCACCACGTGGTGTGAGCCGTTGCAGGCGCTGGAGTCCTCAGAGGTTGCCGAGGGGTCCCTGTTCCCCAGAAAAACGGGGAAAGAGGCGGGCCCGCCCCAGCCAGCATCGGCTCAGCGCCTGACCCGGGAGAGACCCCAGCCCCACGGATCCCCCACCCCAAGCTGAGCCCCAGCCTGGCTGTTTCCTCCTCCCAGGCTGACCCTCGTCCCAGCCGAGTCCTTTTTCTTTTTTGAGACAAGGTCTCGTTCTGTCACCCAGGCTAGAGTGCGATGGAACAGCCCCAGTGCAACCTCCGCCTCCTGGGTTCAAGCAATTCTTCTGCCTCATCCGCCTGAGTAGCTAGGATTGCAGGCGCTCGGCCAGCACACCTGGCTAATTTTTGTTATTTTTAGTAGAGAAAGGGTTTCACCATGTTGGCCAGGCTGGTCTCGAACTCTTGACCTCAAGTGTGTTAGGTTTTGAAAGGATGGTGAGGGTGGAGTTTGAATTAACCGAGTGATTTGCCCTCCTCAGCCTCCCAAAGTGCCGGGATTACCGGCGTGACCCACCCACTGCTCCCTGCTCCCAGCGTGGGCCCTGATGCTGGGCTTCACTGTGACTCCACCCAACTTTTGGCCGAGTGTCTGCCCAGACACCCACTTGTTCCTTGCCCTGAAGCTTGGTTGGGAGAGCTGGCCGTGCTGAGTACAAGACAGCCCACCTGCCCTGAGTCATGCCTGTGACTGTGGTGGCCCTGCCCTCGGACTGTGTCGGTGGGATTGCTGGCATGTCCTGGGCACGCACAGCTGCATCCACACGCGGGCTGGGCCCAGGGCCACTCCCTCCCACAGGCGCCCCAACATCCGACCCCTGGCCTCATGAGTCTCGTGCCGGGCAGAGGAGCAGCAGGCATACCTGTCTGGGGAAAGGAAACAGTCTGTGAAGAGTGGAGAGGGAGGGGGGAATGCAAGACAGAGCTCTGGCCCAGCGGCCACTTCCAAAGCTGTCCAGGGCCCGGGCCATGGCGTCCTCGCCCACGAGGGACCTCTGCACCTCCTCTCGGGTCCTTCTACACGGCATCCTGGGGGCCTGGAGTAAAATGAGGGAATAGGACTAGTGGGGCCCTTCCCCAAGGTTCCCAGGGTTCTCAGCCTCAGTCTTCCGTGGCATGGGTCATGGATATACTGCTGCCTCAATTAATTACGATTCACCCTCTGAGGCGTCCCAGGATCTCCCTTCTGTACACCCCACATCCCGGGAAGCATTGTGTGGGTGGGGAGGTGGGTTGGTTTGTTTTGAGGAGATTTGCTCTGTCACCCAGGCTGGAGTGCAGTGGTGCAATCTCGGCCCACTGCAGCCTCTGCCTCCTGGGTTCAAGCGATTCTCCTGCCTCAGCCGCCCAAGTAGCTGTGATTACAGGTGTGAGCCACCGCGCCCGCTAATTTTCTGTATTTTTAGTAGAGACGGGGTTTCACCATGTTAGCCAGCATGGTCTTGATCTCCTGACCTCGTGATCCTCCCGCCTTGACCTCCCAAAGTGCTGGGATTACACGCGTGAGCCACAGCACCTGGCCTGGGTGAGGGAGGTTTTCAAGCTCCTTCAGCTGGTCCCACAGGGCTCCAGCACCCAGGGAGTCTCAGGCTCAGACCATCCTGGAGCAGTGGACACCAGGGGCTTCCACCCACCTGCTTGGGAGCTCCCTACTCTGTGGAATGCGTTAGAACTGGACTGACCCAAGCCCTGTCTGCAGGGAGGGGTCATCCGTCAGTTCCCAGGACCCCCACCCTGGGCTGCAATGATTGGTTCCAGAACAAGCGTGTGACTCCTGACATCCAGTGAGATTCAGCCCTCGGACATTTCTAGGGCCCGCAAACAAGGTGGCCTCATAGGAAAGCTGAGCAGGCTGGTGACAGGGGAAATGTTACTCCTATTAGTGTTCCTGGATCCAGCTGTACCTGACCTCCTCTGGATGTTCCAATGATGCAAGCCCATGAATTCTTACTCTTTCTCAGCCACTCAGGAGGCTGAGGCGGGAGGACTGCTTAAGCCTGGGAGGCAGAGGTTGCGATGAGCTGAGATCAGTCCTCCCTCCTCAGTAGCTAGGATCACAGCATGCACTGTTACACTGAGCTAATATTTGTATTTTTAGTAGAAATGGGGTTTCACCATGTTGGCCAGGCTGGCTTCGATCTCCTGGCCTTAAGTGACCCTCCTACCTAGGCCTCTTATTTTATTTTTTGAGACGGAGTTTTGCTCTTGTTACCCAGGCTGGAGTTCAGTGGCGCCATCTTGGCTCACCGCAACCTCCGCCTCCCGGGTTCAAGCGATTCTTCTGCCTCAGCCTTCCAAGTGGCTGGGATTACAGGTGCCCACCACCACGCCCAGCTAATTTTTTTTATTTTTGGTAGAGAAGGGGTTTCACCATGTTGGCCAGCTGGTGCCCAGTCCAGGGGGTGAGCACCCTGCAGCGGTCTTGCTGGGACCCAGCTTTGGAAGGAGCTCAAGTCCCGAAAGGGGATTCGGGTTCTGCCTCTCCATCTGCCTCTGGAGTGGGGAGTGGAAACATTATTGTGGCTTTTTTGGGAAACAGGTGATTTGCCAGGATTCATTCCTGTGTTGATTCATTGCTTCATTCATCACTTACCCTAAGCCCAACTCAGTGCTGGGAAATGGGGAGGCAAGCATGGTCTCTGCCATCATGGAACTTGTAACAATTTAAAAATTGTTTCTGTGTGTGGTGTTAGGATGGATGGTGGTTTTCTTCCTTGGTTCTTGGAGCATAGCTCCCACAGCCCTAGTTGCAGACTTTTGCTATCATGCTGAGCTCGTTAGGCCTCTGGAAATAATCTGTTCCAAGACCTGAACACGTGGAGATGGCGGGAGGGTGGTACCCAGGGACGGCTTGGAAGCTCCAAGACGGCTCCCTATGGATCCTCACGGCACTCCAAGCCCCACCCTATGCATACCTCACCCTTGTGTTATCTTTTGCCATATGCTTTATAGCAAACCAGTAAACACAAGTGTTTCTGAATTCCATGAGCTGCACCAGCAAATCAATTGAACCCAAAGGGGTGGCAGGAACCCTGACTTGAAGCCGGTCAGCCAGAAGTCCTGGAAGCCGAGATTTGCAACTGGTGTCTGGCCAGGGGGCAGTCTTGGAGAACGAGCCCTCAACCTGTGGGATCTGACACCGTCTCTGTGTAGAAGATGTCAGAACTGAATTAAGAGGACACCCAGCGGGCGTCTGCTGCTTGGTGTGTGGGAAAAACCCCTCCATGTGTGGTCACGTAAGTCTTTTCCGTGTGGACGATTGTGAGGATGGTGGTGCTAAGAGCCGGGGAGAAACTCGGTTTGACTTTTCCCTGTGTACGGGGGGACGCTCTCCATCAGAATGGGCTGTCACAACTCCCATTTAAAGGAGAGACTGAGCCAAGGGAGTGAAGTCACCTGCCAGCAACCGTTCAGAGCTGGGACTCCTGATTGGCTTTTTTTTTTTTTTTTAGACAGAGTCTCCCTCTGTTGCCAGCCTGGAGTGCAGTGACGCAATCTCGGCTCACTGCAATCTCCAATCTCTGCCTCTTGGGTTCAAGCAATTCTCCTGCCTCAGCCTTCTGAGTAGCTGGGACTACAGGCACGCACCACCATGCCCAGCTAATGTTTTGTATTTTTAGTAGAGACGGGGTTTCACCGTGTTGACCAGGATGGTCTCGATCTCTTGACCTCGTGATCCACCCGCCTCGGCCTCCCACAGTGCTGGGATTACAGGCTTCAGCCACCGCGCCCGGCCAATTTTTGTATTTTTTAGTAGAGACGGGGTTTAACCACGTTGGCCAGGTTTTGATGTCTTGACCTCGTGATCCGCCCACCTCCTCGGCCTCCCAAAGTGCTGGGATGACAGGCATGAGCCACCGCACCTGGCCTTTTTTTTTTTTTTTTTTTTTTTTGGAGACAGGGTCTGTCTCTGTCACCCAGGCTGGAGCACAGTGGCATGATCTCAGCTCAGTGCAACTTCTGAGTAGCTGGGATTACAGGTACCCACCACGCTGAGCTAATTTCATTTTTATTTTTAGTAGAGACAGGGTTTCACCATGTTGGCCAGACTGGTCTCGAACTCCTGACCTCAGGTGATCTGCTGCCTCAACCTCCCAAAGTGCTGGGGTGACAGGTGTGAGCCACCGAGCCTGGCTGGATTCGCTCTTTCTGTCTGAGAAGTGATTCTGGTTGTTGGTGGGGGGAACTGGGTGGGGGTACCGGGTGCCCCTCACAGGCGTGTGGACTCCCACTGAACCCCACTGGTGAGGAGTGGGCGGGCCTGTGCGTTCCGGAGCAGGCCTGGGCTCAGATCCCCGCTGAGCCCTTTCTGGGGGTGCAACCTCCGCCGTCTGGGCCTGTTCCCTGTCTGCCAAACGCAGGCTGGAATTTCCTTCCCCACAGTGCGGCCTGGGAGTCACAGGAGACACTTCAGTTGCTGGGAAGTGTTGGGGCTACGATCTCACTGATGTCAC